TTTTTGCGCAAAAAAAACAAAAATAACGACTTTATTCCACATTTTTGTTTCGTCATGACGTCATTACGCCGGATCTGGGTCAGCGCTGTGCCGCCACACGCTCGCGTCATGATATTGTTGTGAACGCGCGTCCACAAGTGACGCAGTAGAGACGAAAATGTAGAATAAAGTCGTTATTTTTGCTTTCTTTGCGAGGGTAAGTTATTAATGACAGAATTTTCATTTTTGGGTGAACTAAACCTTTAAATTTAGAGAAATGCTGTGCACCCAAAGGAAAATTAATTATAAACCTAAATCTACAAAAGGTGATTTAGGTTTAAATCAATGATGTATCTTGGTTTAATATCCTTCAGACCAATCAAATATTAGCCTGTACAGTAATCATTTTAGTGATTAAAAACTTTTAGTACTACATAATCTATATTTCAGGTTTAAGTATGAGATCATTTATTTCAGTAAATTTGAGATGGACAAACCTGTTTTATTCTTGCAGCAACAGTAAAGAATCAAACCAGCAAACACTATCACTGCCACCACAACACACACAATAAGGAGCACAAACATGTGAGATGAATCACAGGAGATTGGGATTTGCCTTTCATTCTCTGGAAAGTAATAAGAAGAACTGTAAAAATCAGTCTATTCATAGTTAAGTTTACAGTCTGTTAACTATCATTATAAATCATCAGAAAATGCAGCTTGTAATGTGTAAAACAAAAACAGATTTGATTTGTGAGATAAAGACTAGTTATCAATGTTGAAACAGACATTTACCTTCACAGAGCTGTGTGATGTTTATACTGTCTTGTTTCCAGCTGACAGGGTTGCTATGGTTACAGAAGATGGATTCCTCACTGCAGAACAGGATGAGAGTGTGGATCTCATGTGATGTCACTTCCTCTGGAGAGCAGCTGTTGTTCTGATAGCTAGAGGTAATTATGAGCTCATGAGCTCTGCATGTGAAGTTTACAGTACAGGAGTCACTGCTGGAACGGTTTGAGTTCACAGTCAGGACAGGAGCCTCCACAGCATCTGAAACACACATTTCCTCCAAGATCACAATCACTTTTTTTTTGCAGTAGCAGATAGATCCTGAATTAAAGACAATGTGCCAAAAGCTGGTCTAAATGTGCACATATGTAAAACTGAAAAACTGTTCATAAACTGCACATGATTGTCTTTTATGCAGGAACACATTAAACCACACAAAGAAATTACACTCACCTATGACAGATACTCTGTATGTAACAATATTGTTGTCTGATTCTCCACTTGCTCTTGCTGTGTAGAGTCCACTGTCTGTCTTCTGCATGTTCTTCAGTGTCAGAGAGAAGGTTGTATCATTGAAATCCACTCTGTCCTTGTAGGAATCGTGAAGTTTTACTCTTTTGGAATCACTGTTATATCTAATTATACTCTCTGATTTATCATTCATCCAGGATAAAAGATCAAACTCTGGTAGTTGTTGTGTCTGTATATGCAGTTGAACAGAAGCTCCCGTCTGCACAAACACAGAGATCTCAGCACTGAACCCTGAGGAGAGAGAAATACACAGTTCAGAACATTTTACACCTCCATCTTACTTCATGTCATAAAACTCACACTATACACACAAAAGTAAACAAATCATAGGGGTTCTTAAGTAATGATACAAGCATTTTTACTCTTAATAATGGTCCAGGTGATATGTGAAAATAATGTTCACTTTTTCATAAAAGCATGAAACTTGGTGCACTTGTATAGTTCGTGGCCCTACACATTTTCAGAAATGGAACCATTGCAAAAACACCTTGTGGTGGCCATGGCGACGGTTTTTACCAAATTATGTATTTTGTATCATATCTCCTGAACATGATAAGACAGAAAAGGTGATGTCTAAACCTACGGTTTGAAAGTCAAGGATTGCAATGATACCATATAGCTACAACAACATAAACTGTTCAGGTGAACAGCTAGTGGTGAAATCAGCAATGTGAGAAGGAAATCACAGTATCTCACAGTATCACATATTTACAATAGTCCATATTATGGCTATTCATTTTTTATTTTTTTGATAACTAATATGTTATTCAATAATGCAATAAAAGATTGTTTTCAATAATACAATCATACATTTCAGAGATATACAAAAATCTCAAGGAAGTGTATTTTTCCTTACCTCTCAGGCAGAGTCAGGTAGGCTGTAACATTAGCATGTTTCCAATACATGCTTGTTCTCTCTCAACAGTGCTCTAACATGCTGATTCTTCTCACATTGCTGATTTCAACCATTCACTGTTTACCTGAACAGTTTGTCGTATCATTGTAATCCTTAACCCAAATGCTTTTTCCAAATATAGCACAAATTTAATGACACAACATAATAGAAATTTCAATGATTGCATACACATTTATTAATTTATTACCTGTGTTAGAGATAAGGAAAAGGATGAAGGTTGCAAACAGATGATCGACTGCCATCGTAGCAAACATCAAGATGGCTGATGTTGTATTCTTAAAACAGGAAGTTGAATATGTGTGCAATGACACAGAGGAGCCTCTTAATAACGCTCCCACCACAAAGAGCTCAGTTCAACATTTGTTTAATAACAGTAAGAAGAGGAGAATCACTGTTTTACTCTGTCCCTCGACAAACCTCTTTATATGTGAGCCAGACAGACCCTAGGTACACTCTTAAAAATAAAGGTGCTTCACGATGCCATAGAAGAACCTTTTTGTCTAAATGGTTCCATAAAGAACCTTTAACATCTGAAGAACCTTTCTGTTTCACAAAAGATTCTTTGTGGTGAAAGAAGGTTCTTCAGATTATAAAAAGGTAAGAAAGAGATGGTTCTTTAAAGAACCTTTGACTGAATGGTTCTTAGTGGAACCAAAAATGGTTCTTCTATGGCATCGCTGTGAAGAACCTTTTGAAGCACCTTTATTTTTAAGAGTGTAGGTATATACTATAAACTTCTATTGGTTTATAGGAAGCAAATCCTTATTACTAAATGCCAAATATATATTTTAAATAGTTTTTTTTTTCAAATTAGGACGTACTCAAACATCTCAAAATCATATTTAAAAAAAAAGTGTATTAAGTTTATTTATCAATTTAGTCAATTCTGTGACAGCGGGAACCTGTGCTGGACTCTTTTCACTTCATTCTTGGCCTCAACCTTATGCCAACCTTGTGCCATATCTCAACTCCCTGCATGCCAAATTATTACCCTTCATGTTGAAGCCACTATCTGATTGCCTAATCCTAACTCCACCCCACATTTAACCATTCAAATAACCATACTGGAGAATGAGTGGAGTCATAATCTGGCAGGCAGTCATTTTTCCACATGGCACCACACCATAAAAACCATAGATACTGAGGCTGATGATACACAGGGCAACTTTTTGAGCAATGTTGCCATCAAGGGGCAACCAGGTGAGACACAGGGCTCACAACCAATCCAGATAGAAATTTGTTACGCATTCTCAATGGGAAAGTGCCCAAGCAACATTGTTTAAAAAAGGTTGCCCCATGTATCATCAGCTTGAGGGAATAATCTACCCAACTCTGGCAACAAACAGCATCACATCCAGTTGAATAAATCAGTGGAAGGAGTTACGTTAAACCAAACTCATTTTAAAACCTTTCCTTATAAAGTGAGATTATAGAATTAAAGAAACGTATAAGACTATTATTTGTTTGAAAAAAAAGACATCTTTTTGACATCAGACACAAATATACAGGACATGCATAATCATAACTGAAAGTCACTAAAAAGAGGAAAGTTATTTAAAACAGAAAATGCATTTTTCAATACATCTTTCCGAAATGTGTATTGCATTTTTTTAAGTGCATCAATTTTTGTTTTCATTGAATGCTTGAGAAAAACAATAACAATTGTCAAATCATAACAATACAACAGAGGAGGTCCAGAGGAAGTGTCAAGTCCTTTAGTAAAGCCATTGTTCTTATTGCTTTTAAGTTTGTAGAGAACTCAATAGATTCATAATACATTTGAAATACTCAAATTTCAAGTTTGAATCCTTAAAAAAAAGAGGCTTGCATTTAGAAAATGTACATTTATGAATATGGTATTTAGCTAACAGGAAAATAAGATTTATGAAATAAATATCACCTTTTTTTAAACATTCATGAAAACCAAAAATTACATTTCTATAAGTAAACTCAAAATTAGGATTCACATAGCATTTGATAAAATCAAGAATGTCGCACCAAAAATGATGTAAGTGCATGAGAACGTTAAAAGACGAAGGCGCCGTCAACATTTCGCCTCAAAAAGGACCTCAATGTGAAGCCCAATATTTTGCCTGCTAGGAAGTATACGAATATTTGTGAATACTTATGAATTGCGTATTTTCTCAATGTAAATAAAAAAAAATCCATATTGCTTCATCTTAAGTATTATCATATAATTTGAGATACACAAATATTGCAAACATTGTAAACGGCCTATTTACGCGACGCGACGCGGCGCAGTCAGGACCTGAAAACAAAACATGGGATCGAAGAAGCATCGTAGGAGCCGATCGCGGTCCCGACCTTCAGAAAGATCCAGTAGACATGTCCGCTCGCGCTCGCCGGAGGACAGACACGGTCGGAACCGCTCTCCCGTGAAAGGTTCTCGCAGACGAGCGCGGTCTGAGAGCAGCGGAGGATCCGCAGACCCGAGCCGACACCGAGGGAGAGAGTCCGGCCACTCCAGCGACTCTGACCGCGATCACAGAGACAGAAGAGCACACCGAAGATCGAAAGACCGAGACAGGTACTTAAAACCATTAAAAACTAAAAATCAAACAATCCTGTAGGAATTTCAGTTTATATAGTAGGAGGACGTCCGTGGAAAAGTTTAGAGAAAAACGGTGAAAAAAAAGTATGTATGTATGAACGACTGAATCAATAAGATAGAAATAAATGATTGAATATTTAGACCAGGGCTGTCCAAACTCGGTCCTGGAGGGCCGGTGTCCTGCAAAGTGTAGCTCCAACCCCAATTAAACACACCTGAAGCAGCTAATCAAGCTCTTTCTAGGCATAGAAACTTCCAGTAAGGTGTGTTGAGGCAAGTTGGAGCTAAACTCTGCAGGACACCGGCCCTCCAGGACCGAGTTTGGACACCCCTGCTTTAGAATATTCAAAATAAATAAATAAGTTACATTAAAATGAACAATACATTTAACAGTGCAGTGCTATAGTAACAAGAAATAACAAATAGCTTTTTATATTAACATAATTGGCCAAATATTATATAGTCATTTTTATTTTTAAATATATGATCACTTTATATGTTTTGTTGTTTTTAACATAAACATGTTGTTAACATAATATATAATATATTATAATAGCAAACAGTTACACTTATTATTTGTTTCACATAATCTGAACTGTACAATGCTTTATATTTGCCTTGTTCTGTTCGCACTGTATTTGACTGATTTGAGTACAATAACTATAATAATTGATATAGTTAAAAAAATAAATTTAATAGGCAACACAGTGCAAGTTTATTTATGAGGCACATTTCACACACAGTGGTAAATCAAGTGCTTTACAGAAAAAAAGTTATATTAAAAAGGTTCATAAGAAACAAAAAATACAATAAAAAAAAGTAAGAATTATTAATAGTTGATGGCTCATTTCTTCATGTTAATTAACTTTTGTTAAACCCTTATACACTTATTAATGTGAATACACCTATTATAATTTAAGAAACACTAAATAGTTCATTTATTAATATAGTAGTTAATTATAACGGGAAAATTATATTTTAGACATAATTATAATAATATTTTTTTCAAAGTGTAAATTGAGCCTTCATATAAGAAACTATATAGATGCCTTTTAAATTTTCGGATGGAGGTCATTTGCATAAGGATGATTATATTTTGGGATCTGTGGCATCTAAAAGATTGAAAACTGATGATTGTGAGCATAACATTTTTTCATTTCTTTGTTTAAGCTCTTCAGGTGATAGTCACAATAATCAGAAGAAACATGAGACGAAGAAGAAACACAAGGATGAAAAGAGCAGCAGGAGGAGCAGTAGAAGTTCCTCACGTTCCAGCTCAGAGTCCAGCGTGGAGCGAAGCAGAGGCAGAGATGGCAGGAGCAGCGAGAGAGCGCGGGGGAGAGACCGAGAGGGGAGGAGGAGAAAGAGCAGAGAGAGGGATCGAGACAGACGTAGACGCTCTGAATCCAGATCCTCGAGTTCCTCGAGCTCCTCTGCTGACTCTGATCAGGGTCAGGGAGGCAAGACGACACAGGGATCCTCCTCCTCCAAAGAAGACAAGAAGAAGCAGAGGGAGATGATGAAGGCGCTGGAGACCCCAGAGGAGAAGAGAGCCAGACGTCTGGCCAAGAAAGAGGCCAAAGAGAGGAAGAAGAGGGAGAAGATGGGCTGGAGTGAAGAGTACATGGGCTACACCAACGCCGACAACCCGTTTGGAGATAACAACCTGCTCGGCACCTTCAAATGGCAGAAGGTGAGAGAGATGTTATGGATAGCACAGGTCAAATATGTGTTGATATTGCATTGATGTTTCACTGAAAGTCTGATTGGGACTTGTGTTAACAGAAATAAACTTCAACTACTGTATGTGTTTGTGTGATTCTCAGGCTCTGCAGAAGAAAGGCATCGGGCATTTGTCAGAAAAAAATCTGAAGGAGAGAAATAAACACATCCAGCAGGAAAACCGCAGGGAACTACAAAAGGTACTAAACATTTTTAAATAATGAGACATTTTTGGGGGGAATTGGGAATTTTTAGGTGGATTTTGAAATGTAATTAAGAATTACTACAGAAAAAGATTTTAAAAAATAATATATAGTTTTTTTTTTGCTTATGTATCAAGTTTATATTTCCTCAAATCAGTTTCAAAATTAAAAACCCTGTAAGAATTTTAAAATGTTAATAAGTGTTAAAGACTAATGAAACAAATTTGAAATATTATTTTTGTTTACGGTGCTCCTCTCAACAATTTTTAAAAAATGTATATTTTTAGTTAACCTGACAGTAGGCACCATACACTAAAGTGATAATATTTAAAAAAAGTTTGAATAGTTATTAGTATTTATGAACACTGAAACATTATAGAATTGAGAATTTTGAAAGGGATTTTGGAATTGAATTAAGAATTAGACAGAATTCAGAAAGATAATATATACTTGATAAATTAAAGAGACAGGAGGCACACCATAAAGCAATATATGTAATAGTCATTAACAAACATACAAAGATGCTTATAAGGTCCGTAGTTCATTAACTTTAAAATATAATGTGACCGCATATGAATCAATTTTTTTGACTTTTATAATATATACAGTGGAAATCAAAATTAGAGAACAAGACATTTACAAACACAATTATTTAATTAATCAGAATACAGAAAGTACACAAGGTTTTTAAAAATGTTTGCTTCAGACTTTATTTAATGGCTAATTATGTAATTATTTATAGTCCTATTAAATTGTACAT